GGGAGATGAATGCATATTTTTGATACATTTATATAATAAAGAATATAATATGCTAAGCTGGTTTGTATGAGGGGGCCAGGGTATAAGAAATGGTTCGATCCATACCAAATTTTCCACCTTTATTTAATGTGCCAAAACAATACTTTCAACTGGTTTTTGTCGGAACATAATAACAAAAAATTGAAAGATTTTCGCTATTCATCTATGCTCTTGTTTCGGATCTCAACACATGCTATGCTAGTTGACTTTCTTTCTCTTTTATAGATAGATAATCGAAACTGATTAGAATTATTTGAAAACAAGTATAAGCTATTTGAACTTACCTCTCGCTACTGCTCATCTTGTAGTATACGGTATATGAGACCACTTCGTCGGAATTTTTCATGGGCGCTGACCAACTTATGGTCACGAATCGTGGTTTAATAATTTGCGCGGCTAGATTTCTGGGTGGTCCTGGTAAGCGATTCATTAGCGCTGCATTAGCCTTTGTGGACGACTTTGTGGCGGTGCTACTATCAACATTAGTGCCAGCATCAATGCCAGAATTCTCAAGATGCTCTAAATCTATAGATGAATAGGAGGAGGTTTGTTGTGGTAAATTGGAAATAGGTGAAGAAGCAGGATAATTGTCATCGTTGTTGTAGTTTGTTAATTTCTTTTTATTTGACCAAGAATTTAAAATTTTATTTGGATCATCACCATGTTTATACGCAATAATGTATTCCTGATTTGTCCCAGTATCATCGTCATCGTCGTCGTCAATATCATCATTATCATCATTATCATCGTAATCGTCATTATTATTGCTTTTATTATCGTTTTGCAATGACTTATCATAATCATGTATACTAATGGGTAATAAATCATCATCATTGTCTTCTAAGTCGTCGTTACTGTCGCCATTAAATGCCTCGTAATCGCGATCATTTAATGGTTGCTCGGAAATTTTGGGAAATTTTTTATTACCCTTTTGTGAGAGTAAACTGTCTAAAGCACTTTTTGAAATGTTTCGTGTGGATTCCATAGAATTGCCACTAACACTATCACCACCACTGGCACTACCAGATTTAGTACGTAATGCACTTTGTTGGAATTTATTAAATTTACGATTTTTCTCTTTTTCAGTTTGCAATGATTTCATTGTTTGCGATTGAGATTTACGGGAATTTTTCATTTTTAATAATTTGCCTTATGATGGGGTTTTTGTGTGAATGATTGGTTTAATGGTATGGAAAATGGAGGAAAACGGAAAATGATTGTGCAGAGGAGCAATAAATTATGTTACATATTGGAAAGAAATGAAAAAAGAAATGAAAAAGAAAAGAAATTAAATTTAAAAAAATTATTAAAAAAGAAAATAAAAAATTAATACAAAATATAACATTAAGTAAACATTTAACAACGGCGCCAATCGCCCATAATATTTACATTTCGGAATCAATAATTTCCAACTTGCGAGCATTTGTTATTGACCGAAAGATCTGGCGTCTCTCATTTTCAAAAGTGAACGAACGCAAGAACTCAAGTTGAACTTTCTTGGCGCATTTTTAAAACTTGAAGGATCTCTTACGCAGACAAACGTCTTAAGCGGAGATATTTTCTCGCTCATTTAAGAATCTAATATACACTCTACGAGATTTCTGATGGATAGTCTAGTATGAACTATATTGACAAGAGAAATCAATAATTTTTCTTTAAAAATTAGTAGTAGATTTTCTATATTCATGCTAAGAAGAAATAACAAAAGCTTTTATGATGAATTAATATTGAAATAAATATTTTGATTACTACATTTTTAAATTTTAATCATTTTTTTTTTTTTTTTTAAGTATTATTAAACACTGATGTCTATTTACAAATTTTTTAGTTTAGCGATATACATATTTGAACGTCAGGGTTGCAAGTTGTCAAAGCTTTCTTGTAACATAAAAGAAAAAATTCTAAAGTTTAGATTGGATGTGGGATTTAAAAGGCTAATGACTTGGAAGGGATACAGGACTACAATCTTCATAAGCGTTTAGATATATTTTTATATGTTTTAACAAGTTTCGCAAAGTTTCTAACTGATTGAAATCTACAGTAAATAAGTGAGTCACTATAAAATATATTTCAACTCACCTGGTTGTATAATTCTTAAACGTGCAGCTGCTTGCACACTACCGGCTGGATTAATGCCGACACATTGAAACATACCAGCATCCGATTGTAAAAGGCCTAATATTCTTAAATTGTGACCGCCGACCATTTGCATGTAATCGTTCGGTGTAATCGCATCGCCATTCTTTAACCATCTAATTATAGGTTTCGGTTTTCCTCGTATTGCGCACTCTAATTCTAACTCTTCTTTTTCGTAGGCACTTTTATCGCGTGGACTCTGTATAAATTTAGGAGGTACCTGCACCTGTACAGTGGCTTGGGCATCTAATGAATCGACGGTATTGCTGGCGCGGCATTGATAATTACCCGAATCAATATCTTCGGCTGAAGATATTTGTAGCGAACCGGTTCCTATGATCGAAAAACGCGAATCTAAATCATTTAAATCTAATTCTTCACCATTGCGCAACCATTTGATTTGAGGTTTAGGGATTCCGTTGGCTACGCAATCCAAGGTAACCACATCACCTTCTTTCACGGTTTGAGGCGAAGGGCCAACGAGAAATGAGGGAGCAACCGGACTTTCACTAGCATCGTTGAGTTTTTTTATATTTAAATGTGTTTTACTACTTAAACGTGACACTCCGCCTGAAGTGACATTGCATTGGTAAACACCACGATCGCCATATTTTACTTCATCAATTTCTAAAGCACCATTCGGAAGTATAACCATACGCAGCTTATCCACTTGTAATGGCAACTCATCTTTAAACCATTGCACTGAATGCTTAATACCGCTTTGCAACTGACCAATCATGCAACGGAAATAGGCCGTTTGGCCTGGCAGTAAATAAGTTTCAATGAAATCTTGATTTAAATCAGGTAAACGCGCTATCGATATAATAGCTGGTCTGCTGACTATAGTGCCAATACCTTCTACTGACAGTAGGCACTGATAAGACCCCGTTAATCCTCGGTTCTCTTCCACCGAGCTGATGTACAGAGAACCGTTTTTTAATTGATTCCGAAAAGTGTCGCCTACGATACCCAAATCTTGGCCATCGGGACCACGCCATCGTATATGTGGTAAGACTTTCTTTTTACCAAATTGTGCTATGCCGACGCATTGCAGTAGAGCAGAATGACCTTCCGGTACAACTGTGTCTTGGGGTTCGGCGGTAAAGGTAAGAGCTGTAAAAAAGGATTCATATGCATATTTGATTAAAAAATAACAAAAAAAAAAAACAAATAAAGTAGAAATTCATTAAAACTAATAGCTTTTAATTAACATTTACTGCATGGAATTGTAAGCCTATTGTTCTTGCTTTAAAAAAAAAAAAAAAAAAAAAAAAAAAATTGAATCAATCAGTTCAATCGTTTTTAATTAATGAACAAATCAACGTTTACGCACATGTATACATAAAGTTCGAATGAACTTTGAAAGGTTTTATATTAAAACGAAGAACTTACAGAAAATTATAATAAACAGAGAAACTTTAAAAAGTTATTTTTCTAAAACAATTTACGATATGTAAACATTATTTTAAATTATAATTAATTAATCAAGTCGTTATTAAAATTAAATATTGTGTGACAAATTTGAACAAAGTTAATGTCTACGCTTTTACAACATTTCTTCTCTATATTGTTATCGATAACGATTGTTGTTTAATTACTTGCACTAGTTTATCCTTATCAGATCAGTTTTCCGGTATTTTTGCGCCGAAAGCGTGTAAAATAAGCTTCCCCGCGAATTTTAATTAATTAAACTCTCACAATTTTCAAAGTCAACTCTTTTAATAAGACTTCAAGTATAGAATTTGATATTAATATAAATAATTGCTTAGATTGTTTTGAGGAAAAATCTAATACGAAATATTTGCACTGAGGAGTAAAAAAATTGTTGCAAAACTTTTGACTCTCTTCACTTTGCCTTCTCTCCAAATCAAACTTAGTTTTTCTTTGTGAAAGGAAAAAGCAAAAAACTTTTGAAAATTATTGGACTCTTGTTCTATCTGTTATATTTTACTTGACGTTTAATTTAATTATTCAAGTTGATTTAGTAGCCAACAAATGTTTTAATATAATTATAGTTATATAGCGCCAATGTGCCTGCGATTATTACACTGTCAAATAAATTGTATAAAAGAATGAGAAAAGGAGAGAGAAAGAGAGACAGGTAGAAGATTATTTTGGTAATCAACAGTGATGAGTTCGATTAAAACAAATTCAAACCTTCGTGCACACATGTTGATGCTTAGCAAAAGTGAAACATTTTAAGTGAAAGAATTTAATGTCTGCGAAGTGTTTGCGATGATTGCGCTATCAAATGAATTATATAAGAAAATGAGAAAAAGGGAGAGAAAAGAGACAGGTAGGAGATTATTTTGCTAATCAACACTGAAAACGAATGGAACGATTAAAACAAATTTAAATCTTTGTTTGAACAAAGCATCTTGAAGCACGCAAAAAGTGAAACATTTTTAAATGAGAGAATTTAATTTAAGGATATTCATCCATTATAATGTTTAATGAATTAATGTCGTTAAATTTAAGTGTACGAATATTTTGTTAAACATCTTGCATCAAACTAAATTTAAAGCGACATGAAACCAAATCAAGTCAAGTTATATGATGATAAGGTAAGTTGGAAAGATTTTAGAAAGATTTTTTGAACAAATATTTTGTCATCAAAGGGTTTCCTTTGATATCTAGAGCAAAGCTTTTTTATATCTTAGAGTACTCTAGGCAATGTACTCGACACAGCAGATCTGTTCTGGATAAGATTCTAAGTCCACGTCTGTCTCTATGGCGATTTTTAAATAGTTCTGTCGATAATTTATCATTTATAGCAAAAGTTATATGTAAAATTGCAATATTTTTCCACAATGCTTTAATAGAGAATATGAGATAATAACTGCGTAAATACAAATTCAATTAACGAACATATTTAAGACACTCTCTCCAGAGCCTTTAAATTAATCGTCACTAATTACTTAACGAACGAGCTCCATATAGAAATATAAGTTAGTACATATGTTTTGATACGTAGTGCTCTAAATTGGGAAGTATTTCGTATTTATTTAAATTTATTTCAATACAAGACGGGCAGCTTGGACCATCTTGGCCTAAATTTTGTGTCCTACCCTAATAAGAATTTTTAAAAAAATTTATTCTCTGTAGAGTAGAAAAGTCGAAGTTTTAATATGTGGACAGTGTGGTGTACGGTATTTAGCGGTCGGCCTTGATCTAATGTAATGTTCTTAAGGATGTAAAGCTATATTTAACTAGCAAAGACGCAAACCAAAACAGTTAACATAGGTCTGTTAAGGCGTTAACAGAGCATTGTTAAATGGAGCCTCGGAGAGATTTAAAGCAAAATTTAATTAAAAGAGAACTTTTTCAGGATTTTTTTTAGATATTATAAGCAAAATACGACTTTATCTTAATTAATTAAAACTTAGTATAAAAAGGTCTTTTTGCAGTCCGGGGAAAAATTTATTTTGACACTTTGAAAATGTCTTCTATTTACTCATAACTTAGCAAACTTTGAAAAGTCACATTTTCAAAGTGCCAAAAAATATCTTTCCCCGGAGTGCTCATAACTATAGAATATAGTTGGAATGCTTATTGATCAAAGTGACACGATCACATGATATGAGTTTTGTTTGCCTACCACACTTGGATTGGTCACAGTGGTTAAACTTTCACTTTGTTAGCCTTGCATTTGACATAATAGAAAGATCTTTTTATATATAAGTTTTAATTAGGATAAAGTCCTGTTGTTTTTTATGATATCTAAAAAAAACCTGAAAAAGTTCTACTTTAATTAAATTTTTCTTTAAATCTCTTTGAGACTCTATTTAACAAAGCTATGTTAACGGCTTAACAGAGCTCGGTTAACATTTCAGGTTTGTGTCTTTGCTAGTTAAATTTAAATGTAACCTCACGCCCTTAGTGTTCTTCGTCGTTCTTATTATGAATTTCTTTCAAGAATTATTCGTGTTTTTTCTTTTTTTCTTTGAGAAAATTTCTTCTAAGAGTTTTTTCAATGTCACCGTTAGTGAATTTGTGAAAATTAGCATAAAAGAAGTTTGTTAGTTTTGTGCTTACACTGTCATTGCCATCAACTGGTGCAAATAGATAAATGTTGAAAATGTCTTTTTCTTTTCTTTATTTTTATGTTTCTTCTCTTTTTTTTTTTTTTTTTTTTTTTTTTTTTTGATAGTATAAAAACGGAAAATTTATCCAATTAGAGTTATAGACAACAAAGTAGGGAGTGTTGAGGTAGATAAATATGATGGTTCCTATATAACGTAATGCTGTGATGAGGTAAGGACAGCAAAGCACTTTGCACAAATATTTTTAAAAAAAATTAAAAATTAAAGACCAAATGAATGAATTTTAGCTTTGATGAGACGACATACATATATATATTAGATTATTCTCTTACGTTAACAGAATTTTACTTTAGAAGAATTGCAATGCAAGAGAATGGCAATTTTGTCTGTTCATTGTCGTATAGGTTCAAAGAGTTTCTGCTGCATGACGGCTGTGGAAAATTGATTTTATTTTTTTTTTTCACTTCTTTTTATTGTGGGTGCGCAGGTTAGGTTGTCATTTGGATAATTTCTTGAACTTTTGACATGCTGTGCTTGACATCAACTTTTTATAATGTAATATATTAGAGCATTACGAATTGAGAAGTTTTTATGGATAACATACTTTCGTATATTTTCTTTTTTTCTTATAAATTTTCTGCCTAATCTTCAAACTATTCAAATTATGTCAAAGAAAGCAATTTGAAAAAACACTCTTTATTCTCTCCTTGTACGTTGCTTTATACCTTCCCCCTCTCTCCCCATCACTCTCTTTCCTGATTGTCATATTGAAATGTAGTAAGTTTCTGCCAGCAGTGTTGTCATTTTCGACTATCGGTTTGCTTGACTGACTGTCTGTGTGCCTCATTTTGTGGCCTTTGATTTTACAAATGTATGCATAACTGCATCATCATGTGATGATCATCATATTGAGGCTACAGACGGCCACAAAAAAAAAAAAAAAAAAAAAAAAAAAATTAAAAAAAAAAATAAAAGAAAAATAGTAGAAAAGTTGGCAATTGTGTTTACCTAGACACCTTTAGGATATTTGTAATCTGATGTGAAATTTGTTGCCGATGTTGACTGTAACAGGCAGCCCGGCTGCTGTTAGTATTGCTACACAAAGCCCAAATGTTTTTTACGTTACCATTTTATATTGTACGTGTATGCTGTATATTATTATTATACTTTCAAGTATATGTATGTGTTTGTGTTGTACACGTTTTTGACCGTTTTGTTCTCCTATAATGGTATTCAATCGATTTTTGTTAACTCATTTCTTTATAGGCGCATGTTGCCGGCCTCTTGGTTAGTTGTTTGCTTGCTTGCTTGCTTGCCTGTCTGCCTAACTACCTTCAAAGACTTGAAAAATTTAACTTCAACCAAGTCTAGCTTGTAACTGCCTAATTTTTATAGCAGTTATTGCTGGTGCCTATTAGTTTCAGCTAAATGGTATTTTTTTCTCCACACGTTTGTCTAAGGTTTCATTTTTATTTTTTTTTCCAAATTTTTTTTTTTTTTTTTTTTGAGGTCATTTTTACATTTTCGCTAAGATGCGTTTGGTTGATAATTTTCTGTAGCATTTTTTTTTTTTTTTTTGTTTTTGTTAGAAGAAAAAATAAATGCATAACGTAGTACTTGTGGCTACTCTTACGCTTATATAAACATTTTTTTTTTTCTTTTGGTTATTATTTTTTTCTTTCTACAAATTGATAAATTATGTGAAAAGTTTAAAAACATTTGCATATTTTTCCAATTTAGTTTAGGTTATAGATTATGTACGATGTGGTCATAGAACTTTTGTAATCATTTATACTGAGCAGGCAGGGAAGGATAACACAATGATAAAGTGTCAAATAATATTAATTTTATTTATAAAATTTTTTTTGGGGAATATTTACTTGATAAGCAATTTTTTTTTTTTTATGATACTATAGCCGCCTAACACTGGGCTGGGTTGTTCTTTATAAACTAAACTCAGATTATATAAATCGAATTAGTGATGTGCCTATAAATATGAGTCCGCCTGGGCTGTAAATCGGAACATTAAATCCGAAATTTTAGCACATTTAAGATCTTATCGTCAACATTCTTCTTT